TGTTCTATACAGTCATTCCTGCAAATGGTGCATGGAGTAGAAAAGAAAGAGTTTTGTGCATAGTGAAAAGCCACTGTGCTCTGCCATCTACCAGCTCTGGAATGTTAAGTCTGAGATGGCTCTTCTGAAAAGGGGAGAACATTCTTGGTGGGAAAGAATCCATTTTAATTTTCAGTCCTGCCTTTTGGGGTTCGGGGCAGGAGCTAGGTTCAAAACAGTGGCCTGGTGAGACAAAGGGGTAAACTAAGGAACACATAGATCCTCGCAGAGCCTCACTCAGCACCTGATAGCTGTTATAATGAACACCTTGTATTTTGATGAGGTAAGCAGTTCTTATCATGCGATGGCTGTGGGTTACAAACAAGGTTATAGGCCTCCCATATTTTGTTCCTTAGAGAAAAGTTTAAAATGTTTCTGTCTCAGCCATTTGTATCTTAATTCATTAAATAAACACTTAATGAAGGCCGACAAGATGCCAGGCATGGGTCTAGATCCTTGAAGGTAAAAGAGAAAACACAATAAAGAGGTCCTGTGAGGAGAGAAAAGTGCTGGGGTTGGCTCGGGGGTGCGACTTCCCGCTCTGGCTTGGTGCACCTTGGGCAGGCTGCATGACCTCTGTGAGCTTTGTTTCTGGATCTCTAAAATAGTGGTAACAATGTACACCCTACAAAACTGTGATATAACTGAGGTACTGTTCAAAATATTTATTAACTATACATACGGCTAATAAATCCGAAAGAACCAAGTATAGAAAAGCAATATACTAGTGCATATTAGCATATTGGTAGATGTCTTAGTTACTTTTTACTCGTTGCTGGAACAAATACCCATCACTCAAAATGAAGGAAGGAAAGGCTTATTTAGCTCACAGTTACTGGAGGGTTCAGTCCATATTCCACTGGCTCCAAGGCAGATGACAGCAGTTCATGCGGCAGAAAACAATGAAGAACAGAGGAGGGGCAGCAGCTGCAGCATCAGTCAAGCCTCTCTCTCCCTTCTACACTGACTGTCAAGACCAGCGTTCCATGGCGAAGATCGTAGGTCCTCCAAAGTGGCGCGGCTGCAAAGATCAAGCTCCTCTGAAAACTGGGACTTCTCCACAGAAGCTGGAAGCTGGGCAGGTCTGGGCCCCATGCCTGGAACTCCAGGAGCTGATTCAGCCAAGTTGACACAATGTAGCAACTAACACAGTAGAGTGTCAGCTCTGTCTGTAACAGGGCTTAACACATAAAAGGGAGGAGCCCAGGTTTTAGTTTGAAGGCTGGGAATTATATAGCATATATGTTTTGTTTTGTGAATCTAACACATAGATGTCTTTAAAAACCTTTGTGGCTGGGAACAAACTGTTCCACCTGGTACTAACAGTCCTTAGAAAAAGCAATAGGCAAAGCCTGGAAAGTGCCTTTGCTGAGCAAGCTCACCAGCCCACTGCCAGAGCTCTGTCTGGCCCACAGGGCAATAGTCATCTTCCTCAGTCATCCCAGGGCCAGGTCCTAGGCAGCAAATGGGATCTGAGCCAAAGGCTCATGGGAACATTCCAAGCCGTAATGTAGGCAGGGGCTTGTGCTTGAAGGGCCTTCAGAGTCAGATGTGTGGGAATGGGAACGAGGTAGCCACCGTATGGCCGAAGTACAGTGGGACAGTGGCAGAGACCAGCAAACAGGGATTGATCTGTAGAGGAGTGTCTAGCTTCCAAGAGGAGCACGATTCAGGAAATACATCAGTCACCAAACGGATAGAATCAGTTCAGGATTCCTAATGATTGGGTACAGGTGGGAAGGAAGGACACAGTCATCGATGATTCCTAAGTCTTTAGCTTGGCCAACAGATCCACAAAGGGATCCCAGAAGAGACAGCCAGTTTGGGGCAAAGTGCTTCTCTACAGGTCTCTGTACCCATGTCATTCCCCTGCCTATCAGGTCAACTAAGGTTTTTTGTTTTTGTTTTTGTTTTTTTTGATTTGCAGCTGTAAATATTTCATGCCACTGGCCACATTTCTGTTTTATTTAACTGATTATTCAGCTTAAACAACTCAGGAAACTGAAGGGCCACTTTCGTCCTCAGGGAGTGTTTGGTGCGAAGATGGCAGACGGCTTGTTGTGTGTGAGGAAGATAGCGCCTGAGGTCTTGCCACTTTGATGAGACATCTTGTTGTCCAGGATAACACTGCCAAATGTGTGTGGGTGTATCTTTGAAGAAACAAAATAGACAAAGCATGACCAGCAATCTGATCTAGTTAGGTGTCTGTAAACATCATTATTTTATTTATTGCCTTCGCTCTTGTAGGAGCTCCCTTACTGGCCTCAGATGCAGCTGCTGTGTTCAAAGGCAGCTGCCCTATTGTTCTCCATGGTGGTTGGCCAACCTGTTAGTTGCTTTTTAATTTTTTTTCTCTAGCACTGCCTCCCTTTTTTTCTTTTGTGTTTGTTCTCCTTACGGACGGTTGCAGGCGGTGGCCACATATGCTCCCGGGCTATGGAGCCCAGCAAGGCCAGTTCTGATGCTGCAGCTGCCCATTCAGGATGAAGGAGCCCCTGTAATCAGCCCTGCCTTGCTCCCTCGTCATTGCTACACCAGCACTGAAGTGATTTCAACACAAGGACAGGATTACAAGACAATTCAGCTCATACTCAGTGCCTCTCCAGCTTTCTGATTCCAAAGAAGTTGGCAGCAGTCTAGAATTTTCATGACCACATACATTTCCATTGTCTTTCTGAAGCTGCTAAGAGACAGGCTCCTTATACCCATCATAACATTTACTACAACTAAGCAGCTACCATGGGCTCTATTGAGCTCTTCTCATGTCAGGTACTATGTTAAGCAGCACTTTACACAGATAATCCAACCCATGAGGCAGGCCAGTGTTACCTCCCTTACTTAGGTGAGGAAACTGGGACGTAGAGAAGTCAAGTCACTTGTTCAGGTTCCCTCTGCTCTTAGTGGGGAGGTTGGGGGTCCAACAAACACTCCTAACTGCACATTGTGTACTCTTAGGCATCACACTGCAAACATGCAAGTCATGAAATACAACTTTTAAATAAGGTGAAGTATTGGAGGTATAGCTTAACAGACTGCTTAACTGGCATGCGTGAGCGAGCCCCTGTGTTTAATCCCCAGCACTGCAAATATTTTTTTTTAATGAATACATAAATAAGATGAACCTGAGAGTTAAAAAAGGTAAACTCCAGAGCCCAAGTCACTGATTTTAAAGCCATGTTTTTCTGCCAGGTCACTGTTTGCCTCTGGCTATATTGTGGCCAAAGCACTACTTTGTAGAAACTGTTTAATAATGGGAAACCGACCTTGAATCCTGGAATCTGTAAAGTAAGCTAATGGAATCAATATTGGTTTACAGTGTGGTAGTGCTTCCGGTCTAATGTCTGATGATGCCATTCTTTCTCCTCATTTTAGAAAGTACATTAAGTAAGGCTGTTTGCATCATAAATTATTAGCTATTAAATCCCAGTAAGTCAGCCTGGGCTTCCAGCATTGCTGACTCTTCACTGTAGACCAAGCACTGTGCCATTAGGATGATAGATGAGAAGAGTTCTACCTTTTTCTTTGAAGTTTATCGTCTTCACAGAAACACAAGATAGCTATTTATTTTTGTATTTATGCAAATCATATATGCATACAGAGTTGTTAAAACATAAAACAACATATGGCTTAGGAGATTTCTGTAAGTGCCGTAGGCATCTCCGGATGCAGAAATAGCAGGGCTGCTAATGACGTGGCTTCCTCAGCAAAGATCACAGTGCTCAGTGACTTGCAAGATGTGGAAGCAAGGGGCGCTCAGGGATTGGTGCCACTTTTCTACTCATGCACTAATGTTCTATCTTTTTCATGGCAAACGAGTGTCATTTTAAAGAAGTTTGATCAAGCAGGAAGTGAAAGGATAAAGCAAGCCTCTTTTGTAGGATCCAGCGGGTCTTCCCAGGCTGAAGCCAGTCCCAAACACTGGCTTGTAGTATGCAGAATATTTGACAAACGTGGAGTTCATAGAGGTTCAAGTAAATGGGAGATGTTTAGAAGACAGTGTACAACTAGATCCTAATTAATGAGCCTCATAATCATCCTTGTTAAGTGTGTGTGTGGGGAGAGATAATTAAAAGAATCATGCACCAAATTGTATACTTTTAAGTTGCTAGAAGATTGAATTTTATATCAAGCTTATGTCAAATATTTCAAAAATATAAGATGTATTCAACTTTCAAATAAAAAGGAATTAAAGGAATGAAAGAAACAAAGATAAAAAATGGGCTTACTAGTTACCACATTTCACCTACGTGCCCGTGTCGCGGTTCCATACCATCTTCGTAGCAATTGTGTTGTAGATGGGGAAACTGAGGCTTTAGAGATCCAAGGAGCTGCCACACATCATGCAGCTGAGAAGTGTGAGGGTCTGTGCTCAGCCCTTTTGGATACAATGAAAACAGACTTTCCTACCCCAGTGGAAATGCTTCCTGAAAGATTCTGAGTCACTGACAAGGGATATTTGCAGGCTCTGGGCACATCCGGAATTGATATTTGCCAGAACCGTGAAAACCAAAGGTGAGCAGTGTGAGCGGAGCGCAGCTGGGGCCACGGCACTGCTTCTCTCCTTCCAGGCTGCCAGGCGATAAGCACAGCCCTCACTTTGCACACTACGCTTCATTTGCTCTTTGTACCACAACGCGGCTCCAGTGCCCATAGTGCAGAAAGCAATTAATTTGCCCAATATTATCTAATTCTTGGCATGTACTGAATGCAGCCAGAGAGACTAAGCCAGGATCCTATCAAGGACTAATGCCTGTGTCTGTGCAAAGGGATGTGCAGTTGCCATAGCAGCAATCAATCTGCTAAATAACCGGTAACATAAACTGATTCAAAGGCAAAGACTGATTTAGGTCAGGGAATTGCCACTCTATAAAGAACAACTTCTCAGTGACTTTTGAGATTTTTTTTTTTCCTTTTAGCTTTTAGAGATGGCCCTAGAAATATATAGTGAGTGAGTACTCAGTTTGCAAGAGGGTGTGTGTTGCCTCAAGAGGAGAACAGTGTGCTGTTCTCAGGAGGTTCGGGCAGACAATTCTGTGGAACATGCTGCAAAACTGCATTCCCACCCCAGGTCAATTTCCAGAGGCTCAGGAGGGCCAGTAACAAAAGTAACAGTGTCCACTTGAGTTCTTCCCATGCCCTGGGTCACCTCTCAGTGCTTCGTGTGCATTCTGACAACAACCCTGCAACGTGGGACTTCCCTTCACCCTTCAACAGATGGGGACCCTGAGGCTCGCCTGTCCAGAGCTGAGCGATGACCCAGGGATTGGTTCAGGATGCGGGCTTGGTTGGCTTGCAGTCGGTGGGGTGCCCTCTCCAGCCTGCCGTGCTGCTTCCCTGCCTGGGACTTTGCCCAGAACCAAAGCACAGTCCTTAGTTCTGGTTCTGCTTTGTGTCATGTGCATGCTGCTAATTATTTTTAATCCATCATAAAAACTAAGTCTCAGGCCAAGAGGACATAGCACAGCTACAACCCACACTAACTACTTTGGGTGCTTCAGATTGTGAATAAAAAGGCTTTCTCTTTTCCTTGAATTTTCACAGCAGTGTTAGGTATTCTGTTGGGTAAGCCTGTGCCAGGGAGAAAGAATTCTTTAACTACAAGGGATGGTGTGTTACAAAGTCAAGAAAGCACTGACCTGAGAAGCCTAAATCTATAGCAAAACTATAGATTTTGCTAGTTTCTACCTGTGTGATCGTGGGGAGTTTCCCTTAGTTTTTAAAGTCTGTTTCAAATGGGGATGATGACGATGATAATGTTGATATCAGTTCACTCTCATTAGACTCAGATTCTTTTGGGAATGAGATAGAAGTAAAAATTGCTTTAGGCTTAAGTATTAAATGTTCCTCTAAGAGTATCTTGCACCAAGAAATATGTTCTGTCATCCATATATCCCAATTTTTAATTGTATTTTTGTTTTTGCTTTTGGGCTTAGCATCTGTGCATTAAATATTTGCAGAATAAATGAAGTCTAGGAAAGCATTCACCAGCATGCCTGTCGCATGGTTGGGGTTTAATAAATACTAGTTTTCTGTTTAAACAAAGCCTAACATTTATTAGAGAATTCTTCATGTCTACATCTATTTTTTAATCACTAGTTTGACTTTATTTCTCAGAAGGACTTGCAGCCTGGATGCATAGAGAAAGGTGGTTTTGACTTTGGATGTGCCTTTATATTTCCATTGCCTCTTTCTGATTCCCTGTCAGAAAGTCACAAGGTGAAGCAAGCGTTGCTGACTGTGGTCCTGGAAGCCTCACCTTCCCAGGCCTTGCAGCTAGCGAGCCTGGGTCAAGACCCCTGGAAATGAACTTCATGCAATGCGCAATTTGACACAACTGTGCCAGCTGGAACCCACCTCCAGGAGCTGAGTAGGTGAGTTCATTTAGAGGATCCTATTGTTTTTCACTCTCTCAGCTAAAAGGATAGCAATTTCAAGTGAAAATGTAGCCTCCAAGCCAGCCCTTTTCCCATGGACTGTCAGTGGGTTATGAACATCACCCTCACAAGGCTGGGTTGCATTTGAGCTTGTAATGTGAAGCTAAGAAGGCTGCCTATCCCTTCTCATCATTCTTCTCCATGAGGTGGTATTTCTTCATTGACCCATAACCCCTCTATTGGATTTCTGCATATGGCATTGCTGTAGTTTGTGTCTGCAAAATAAGTTCAGTTTTCTTCCTGTATGTGGACATTGATTTTTTTCTTTTAACCCAGAATGCAAATGGAACCTGTGCCTGCTATCTGAATATCTCTAATTAGACTACCTGCACAAATCTACCTATTGACTTTAATAGATTGAATCCAAGTCTGCAACACTCTTACAGGGAAAGTAAGATTGCCTTGCCTCCCAGGTTTTCATCAGGACTTAGTCTGAATGCAGATAGATTTCCCAGATTCAAGATACAATGGTAGGCAAGAGTTTCTGAGACCCTGGAGGCAGAGTGTAATCATCACACAGGTAAATTATCCCTGCCATGAGAAAACTGGAGCAGTAAACAAAACATTAGTCCACTTCACTAGGAGGTCATGTATGTTGTGGTGCCATAAGAACCTGTCCCTGTGATTATAATTAGAATTGAGACTGCCATTCATGCCTTCACTTTTTTGTGCTTTTTATATTCTGCTGAGCTTTGTTTTACTTCAGCTTCTTTGCATTCTACCAATTAAGCCCAAAATTGGCAGTGAAGACAAAATACAAAGGAAAGGGAGGGCAAAAGTAGACAAAGGCAGTGGAGAATAAAGTTGAAAACTGCTCCCTCCTTCCTTCCTTCCCTCCTGGAAGCTGTGCTTAACCAAGGAGATACCAAGCCTGGGTGACAGGGAACCATTTACTCACCTGGTCTGAATCCCTGGGTAGTCCTTAGAAAACAGTTTCAGCAGTGCCTGTTACGTGAGCCTATGCCCTCCTCATCCTACCTGGCTGCTCAAACTCCAGTACACACCTGGGCTCTTCCACATGCAAAAACATTGGATGACATTTATCAAGGTTTGCTAGACTATTCTAAGTGTTTCTAATGAGCTAATTCATGGCTATTTATTTTTAAATAACTATCATCTCCATTTACAGATAAGAAACCTGAACCAAGAGAGAATGTAATGCCTCCTGAAGTTGACATGAAGTGGTGGGAAAGGACGCCAGCCCAAGCAGTCTGACCTGAATGCATTCTTACATTATGTTCTGATTCAAACATATGTATTGTTCCTTGTATAAAACCTGGAAAATATTAAAAAGAACGCAGAAGAAAATCTGAGCATCCGCTCTATTGTAACAACACTAGAATTACTGTATTTTAATGCCTTCCCTTTTATATTTTGAAGTAGATATTCTTTAAAATATATATTATTGAAATCATACTTTAGATAGAGTATCTTTCTTGTTTTCTACCAAATTTTAAGTGAACGTTCTCCATGCCACGATAAGGCCTTCCTTTGGATGGTGTGAAGTAATTAACTATCTCCCTATTGTTGGACAGATAGGATATTTCTGGTGTGTGCATTTTAACAGTGGAATAAAGCACTGTTTTGTTTAAGGGAATAAATGAATTTTTTGATGTGTAAAGTTGGGTCCTGTGATCTGCATGTACTTTCTTTAGATTGCCATTTACACTTATTTATATATATTCTGTAAGGCTTTTATTGCTCTTGCTTGCTTTCTTTTGACACCTGCACTTACAGAGAAGTGCAATTGTGTTTTAAGACTGACTGACACTAAAGTTTATCTTATTCAAGAGTTGCAGTGGGCTTCTTTTGATGGTATACTTTAGGGGTTTTCTGGAAAATGATGTTTTCACTTTGTACTTGTATTATTTGCATTCTATTCTCTCTTTTTTTTTTTTCTTTCAAAACTGGGTGGCACTGACTTGGAATCTGTGCCCCTCCTGTATCAGCCTTTCTAGTTGCTGGGATTATGGGGGTGTGTCACCATAGCAGACTAAGAGGCTTGCTTTCGATAAAAGCATGTATCTTGTTTCATACTTTTTGTCTGTGATACATAACGAGCCAAAGGAGAAGAGTGATCATAGTCAATTATGGTTGATACCATTAAGGATCTGTGAGTTGGGCCAATGACAAGAATGAAGACAAGTATGATTTTCATGGAACATGCTATGAAATACATGGATATAAAGGGTTCTGGAAACCCAGGTTAATTATCATGTCTTCTAGGAAAAACAGGTTACATCAAAAGCCATGAGTAAATGAAGTATTGGCTAAGCTCGATGTAGAAGGCTGAGTAAGTGCAGAGAGGCCATGATGTGGGGCAAGGGCACGCCTCAGGAAGGAAGAGTTTCACACAGAGGCACAGGGGTGGAGTTGATTCAGGATATACACACAGCATAAGAGGCCCCAAGGAGAGGTAGCATCACAGATGAAGATGAAGTGAAAGAGGTGGTAGGAATGGAGCATAGTTGTGAGCTCATGGGACTTCTGACTTTATTCTGGTGGTGCTGTAGCATGTGTAAGGCACCATAGAAAGGGCCTTGACCTTCTCTCTCAGGTGCTCATGAGTCTTGAAGAGTAATCTTAGGTGCCGGGTGGGCACCTTTCCTTCTGCCCATGCTTTGTAACTTGATTTTTCTTAAATATACTTGTCTCAGTTACTCTTCTCTCATTGCTGGGACAAAATACCCAACACCCAAAATTAAGGAAGGAAAGGTTTATTTAGCTCACAGTTTGTAGAGATTTCAGTCCATACTCAGCTGGCTCCAAGGCAGAGTGGCACATGGCAGAGGGCAGCCTTTCATGGCAGCAGAAAACAGCAAGACAGCAATAGCAAATGGGAGGAGTAGCAGCAAAAATGGCACCAAAGAGCAAGTCTGCCTCTCTTATGTGCATTCAGGCTGTCTGTCCCAGGCTAGGTATGGTACATCGATATTCCCAGCAGTACTCATATACATAATCCCAGTGGATGAATTAATCACAAACTCTAGAAGTCCACCCCATGACTTAGTGAGGCTTTCCGGGGACAGCTAGCCACAAACCATAACACTACTTGACTCTGTGAAGTTTCTTAAATGCCTTTACAATATCTGACTATGCAATTTCTCAATTATTAGTGTCTAGTGACTCCATTTCGGGCATCTGTAGTTAGTTCACTCCTGTACCACAACATTGTAATCTAGTTTGGAGGACCTGTTTTATTAGTATACATTGCTTGAGCTTGGTCTGCTGCTGTGAAAATTGGTATCTCAAGCTCTGGCTTAATGCATTTGTTGCCTTCCATTCTAGTTGAATGCAAGTCAGAGCTGTTGGGGCAGTTGTGCTTGCTGCAGTCGTCCATGGTCCAGGCCCTAAGACATCCATTCATTGGCCAGAGCTCAGTCTAAGTCCACACATTGCTGGATGCTGGGGAGTGAGTGTAAGGAGGTGTGCCTAGGAGAAAAGGCGATGGGATTTGGTGAACACACTGCTGCAGTATATGTAGTATGATTTAAAAAATTATATACGTATTTACACTTTTTAAAATCTTTATTTATTTGCTACAAGGTCTCGCTATGCAGCTCAAAGTCATAGTGATCCTCCTGTCTCGGCCTCCCCGGCACTGGGATTACAAGCGTGCAGCACCATGCCCAATTTCAGTGGGCATAGCGTGTAGTACCAGGGATTGAACCTGGGCCCTTGAGCTTGCCAAGCAGGTGTGTAGACCACCGAATTATCTCCTAAGCCCCAGTACTTAAATTTTAAAACTCTGTTACAGTAAAAGAAGCATTCCCATTAACTCCCTTCAGTGTACTCTTCCTCTCTTTAAACCCACTCATCCATTGTTCTTGATGCCTTCTAGCAGTGCTGGGGGTCCTCATTTGTTGTGCTGTCCCGGTTGCCTCAGTGTCCTGAATCAGTTCACAGCCTCTACCTCTCATGGTCCCTTTGAGTGGTCGAAGAGCCAGAAGCTGCTTGGTGCCAGGCCCAGTGACAAGGTGGTGAGGGCGCACTGCGATGTTTTCACTTCACAGGAACAGTCCGAAGTGTTTGGAATTAGTTCAGGACGGCAAGGCAGCCACAAAAGGACAGCTAAAGGCACAAAAGAGGACTTTGAGCGCAACTTCAGAACGTGGAAGGAACAACGGATGTTGTTGAAGTGAGGAGCTCTTTTGGGAGGGATTCATGGCACTGGCTTTTACTGTAATAACTTTTTTTAAGAAATGCAACCATTCCTATTCCTTTGGCTCCCACATTGTCCGTGCACATGACTGTAGCTGTAATTCTTACTTTTAATGGGGGCCTCACCAGAACTATGAAATGAGGCTTTCCAGGCATCATGGGTATTTTCTAGTTTCACAACTCTTTAATCACTTAGGAAATTCATCTCATCTATTTTTTAATTTTTTAAAAAAATCGGCTTACTTTCCCCAGTTTTCTAATTCTGCCTCTTCTTCACAATTTATTTTCCATCTTCATCCCCATTTGAAAGAGCTCTTACAAATAAAAAAATGTTTATACCTTCTTGTGTAACTTTGATTTTGAAATGATGATTGGGAATCGACCTGCAAATTGTACATACAAAATGGAATATTGTAGCAAAATCATTTTCTCTACTAATTTAGTGGCATCTTAAATAGAAGATTAATCATAAGCCTGTGAGCTGGCCTGGTGGTACACGAATGCAGTGCCAGGCACTTGGAAGGCTGATGTGGAACGAACCACAGTTGAAGGCCAGTCTGGACAACACAGCCAGCCCTGTGGGGTGGGGCCATGCTAAAAGAAAAGCCCCAAATCCAAAAACCACAATAAAAAAGGGTATGACAACGTGTTCAGACTACACTTATACTAGAAAAACTGGTAATTTTTTTTTGTTTGTATTTGTCTGTAAGACTATGAGGATCTTATCTGTTGTATAATCTCCATATATAACATTTGCTGCTCTGTCCCCCACCCCCCCACTAATCAGTCTGTCATATACATCACACATTTTGTTTTATTCTGTCAGCTCCACACCTGCCTCACTTAATTCTGTGCAATCAGGAATGTGTTAGGGGAACATAATTAGCACTGCCACCAGGCCAGGGTTGAAACTGCCTCTCTGGGTGGAGGCAGAAAGAGGTACTGTTGGGCTAGGAAAGCAATTTTAATTTCAAATTATGTTGGAGCTGTTGTAAATACAAAGGGTAAGGGTTGTTGAAATACAAAATATAATTTGGAAGTGTCATTTTACTATTCATAGGCTCATTTCTTTCTTTGTCCCTGCTGCCCTCAGCTCCACTACGCCTCTTCCTGGTCTGTCTGTGTAGAAGAGTCTAAGTAAGACACACGGTGTGCTGCAGCCCCTTGGCCACAGCATAATGTCCCCAGTGGAACAGCAGGGTTTTCATGCCTGTTTGACCTTCAGAACAACTCTGGTGACACTGCCGGAAGCAGGGCTTCCCTGAATCATGAGGATAGGTTTCCACAAGCTTCTCCAGCCAGTTGCCTCATGTTCACATTCCCTGCCTAACCCGATTGCTCTCCACTGTATTATCTTACTCTTAAAGCTCCCTCTCCATAAATTAATCTAATCCTGATACTTCACACAATTCTGGGCATATTTGGGCCCTCAGTGTCTGTTTAAATGAATGAAAGGATGCATATATGAGCACTTGGGCTTGTGTTGATTCCTAGCTCCACATTTGTAATTTACTCATGACCCAGTCATTATAGCTGCAAGATAAAGATGGTGGTCCTAATTGCAGGGTCATACTAAGGAAGTAAAACAATGTATTTGCAGCCCCTAGGAGGATTCCTACTGCAAGGATACAATGAATGGATAGTTCTGTAGTCTAGGGAAGCATTGAGCATTTGGGGCAGAGGAGCAACTGAGTGAATGTTGTGCCTTAGGAAAGATGAATCTGGTGGTGTGATGCAGAAATGAGAAAGGGATTGAAACTCTGCTGCAGTATCCTGCTTAGGAGATAACAGGGTCTGAACCAGCATCTTGGTTAGAGAATATAGTCCCAGATGCCACCCCAGGCGGGTGGTTCGCTTTGTTGAGCTATTTAGGTGCCCTATGAAGGCGACAGAACCTCATTGAGCCCCCCTAACTGAACTGTTGGCCTTCTTGCCAATTGGTGCTGGCTGGGTTTAGTCAGCTCATAACCAAATGGGAACAGTGACTCATTTAGACCCTATCATAAAGAAGGTTTATTTTGAGGACATCCTCCAGTTCAGTGCAATTGAAATAGAAAAGCCGTGAGGATCCAAGGCAGTCGCTTCTCCCTCTTGACACTCACCACTTCACAGGCATGGTATTCCTGTTTCTCAGTATATTTCTGCTT